TAATAATCGGTTCTGGTTTGTTCCGCTCATTTTTCAGAGCAAACTATACATCATTACATTTCATTGCCTGCACTTTATTATGTATTATTATCAGGCCAGATAACTGTGCATGGGTAATAAAATGAATCCAGCTATACAACCCACTCCTACCCTCCCCTCCTACCTGAGAGACCACGTCTCTGTTATGAATTAAAACACAGTTTAGTGCAAGTTGGCTTCTCTGGGCTGGCAGAGAAGCACACTGTTACAGAAGTGATTGCTTGTGAGAACTTGGCACTGTATTTGTGAAATTAAATGTAATTTCTAAATTCTCCTAGTGGCAGCTAGTGTCAGGTTCCATTGACTTGTGAGACTAAAAGTGTTGCTACAGTTTGGAAGGAAAAAATTAAACTGTAGTGCTTGTGAGTGTGTTTACTGTATGTTCACGTTTGTCAGAAGAAGAAGCCCAAAGTATACTCTGCTTTTTTGCACGTACATTAGTCGCACAGTGGAACGCAAACCTTTCAAATTACATTCCATTTTAATATGCTGCATTAACAGGTGCTCCATACTTGCGCACTACAAAGATTCATCCTTGTCCAATGTTTGCGCTTTTTCTCAAACATAATCAGCAAAAATATGTATTTGTATTAGTTTAAACTAGCATTAGTTTTATCCCCTTGCACAAGCACTTGTGAATGCAGTTATCTGTTGTTCTTACTATCTTTAGTTGATTATTGTTGTTCTTGTTTGGTCTCCAGGGTTGCCAGGCCTGCATAACAAAACCAGCCCGATTAGTACTCAAAACTGGCCCAATCACGGCCAAAACTAGACCAATCGCGTTACGGGGGAAATTGGCTATGAAAATCAATTCAAATTCACCTGCAGGACATGTATAACATTTTCCCAATTCCACGGGAAAACCACGGACTTGGCAACACTATCGGCCTCCTCTGCTTGTTTTCCAGCTGTGAAACAATGGCCCAAGCTAAATGAATGAATGAATGAATAAATAAATAAATAATAACAATTTAAAATGCATGTGTGACCTGCATACACACTGTATGTGTGGCTAAAATCGGGTTGCACGCGTACAGTGCTGATGACTAAATTCGTATGAAATGCATTGTACGCATAGTCTAGAATGCATGTAAAAATGTGTTTGTTGTACTCCATAGCGACCAGGCAGGTTTGAGTCTTGAAACAGGAACGATCTGTCTGATGTGCGATAATGGGCCCTCATTCAGCAAGGTAATGTTGGATGGTTTTGCACCTACTTGTGAATGGCTCACCAACATGTGCATATGAAAGTGCTCATTTTTACTTAAAAAGTTATTTACATAGTTCTCCATAACAAGATTAGTCTCAGAACTGATGTTTACAGGTTTGGCAAGGTGCTAAGGGCTACACACAATGGTAAGAGAAGATTAAAGATAAAAAATATATTTTTTAATTGTGAAAGTATTATTCACATTTATGGTATTCACAAACACCCTATAGTAGCAGAGTGGATATTAAACCCTGCATGTTAATGCTAGTTTGCCCTTATTTGCTTTGTGTCATAATGCAGTCCCCTCTATTACTGCCTTGTTAGTCTTTTGATTCCCAATGATTTTGGTCAAAGCACATTGACTCAGTGCTGTTTTGCTCGTTTTGGTTATGGACAGGACTGTGTGAGTTATTCACAAATTAATGGTCAAGCAGGAGTACAAACCACTATTGATCGTGGAAATTCAAGTTATAGTTTGAGTGAGGTTTGCAAATTGTGGGGAATATAAAATTCACCTCGGGGAAAAGAAACTGTAAAAAAATATGCAGGGCTACTAATCTTAAATCATACACATGACAAATGTAATCTTAAAATTTCCTTCAGAAATGTATGCTTATATGGTATATTTCATATTAAACTAAAAACTGTTATCAGCTACACAAGGGTGGACTTCACAGGTCTTCAGTTTTCCACTTGAGATTTTAACCAGACTGTGTTGGAGTGCATCGACATGAATAAATAATAAAATGATACTACTGTACAAAATATAATAATAATAATAATAATAATGTTTTTATAATATGTGATCTATTAAATAACAATATATATTTTATAAAAGCAAAAATAAATAAATATAAAATAAAATAAAAAATACATTATTCTCTTCAGTTCAACTAAGATGAATTAGTTTCAAATGTGAACCCCCTTTTACTGGAAGCATTTTGTTCTCTCTGTTTTTATATATAAGCAGTGGAATAACAAGATGCTAAGTGTTTTTTATATTGCAGTTGAAATTGCAATCAATTTTGCATCATTTTGCACAGTCACTTTGACCCAGAAACACATTCTGAGTTTTATGTATCAAGCCAACATGTAAACAATCTCAGCAATGGCTTGGAGTAGAAATGCAATACTAATATAATTAGAAAGCTTTTTACCTTGAAGCAAAATGTGTTCCTCGGTCAAGATGACAAAATGATCAAGCAGGTATATGCATATATCTATGTTACATTTTTTTTTGACACTTTTGCTGTGTTTTTCCCACATGAATGTATATAGACACATTTGTGAATAGCTGTTTATATGTAAATATAATGACAATACACCAAAAAGTTTGTATTAGTTGCTATGATCGTTAATTATATCACTAATCCTCTCATTCTCACTGCCGAAAAAAACAAAACTCTCAAAGAGGGATCAGGTCAAGAGGTGATTCTCTTATTTGAGCAGGAGGTGAGAATGAACGGGCCAGGATCTCTGAGCCCCCAGAGTGGTGACACTGAGGAGGCCTGGCACACTGCTCCTCTGTCAGCAGATGGGCGGCATCTATAATTCAGTCTGGAGACTGTTGCATGCTGCTTCATTTCATGTCCGATCACCACAGCTCTCTCACAGTCAGTGTAAGGAAACACAAGGGCCACATCTACCTCCTTAACAGTGACCCCTGAATCTGTATCGCACATGCCCACCTGTCACACATAAAAGCTAAATGAGAACCAATAGACAGGTCTATAGCAGTGTAATGTGGTGGGCTTAAGAAATAATAAATTATTTTTAATCCACAGTAAATTCATGTTTCAGGTCCCTTTCTGGTGTAGGAAATTAATTAATTATTTAATCAATCAATTAATTAATTAATTAATTAATTAATTAATTAATTCATTCATTCATTCATTCACTCACTCACTCACTCACTCTTAATTCATTCATTCTAATATATTAATACTTTCCCGAACATTTGTTTAAAACCTTTTTATTAAAAAAAATCACACACAATATTTAAAAATATTTAAATATCAATATTTATATAATTAATATTTAAAACTATTATTAATATTAATATTTGATATTGATATTGATATTTATTATTAATATTATTCTTAATAATATTAATCTCGATAGTTTAAACATCTGTTAAAAAATATTTTTTAATAAAAACTGTATATATATTCTCACTACCAGTCAAAAGTTTTTGAACAGTACAATTTTTTATGTTTTTTAAAGAAGTCTCTTCTGCTCACCATGCCTGCATTTATTTGATCCAAAATACAGCAAAAACAGTAATATTTTGAAATATTTTTAATATTTAAAATAACTGTTTTCTATTTGGATATATTTTAAAATGTAATCTATCCCTGTGATTTTAAAGCTGAATTTTTTAGCATCATTACTGCAGTCTTCAGTGTCACATGATCCTTCAGAATATACAGAATATGCATAATGCATTATATAGCTACATAATAATATACTACTAATATGCAGAATAAGCATTATGCATTACATACATATACATAAAATAATTCAGAAATAATACAATAAAAGTGATACTCTCTAGGACAAGGTAACATGAGGGATGGCTATTAATATTAATAGTTAATGTCTTTTTTACAGTCGTTTTTTCAATCCCCTGTAAACACTGCAGGTGTCATGATGGTCACTGGACGTTTAATTTAACAGAGCTGAGTGGTCATTAAAAACCAGCTCTCTCTATATATTATCATCATGTCAGTTTCACTTCCATTTGGATGTGATTAAATGTGATAATGTCTAAGTGAGTTATTTACTATGCCATTAGTCTATCCATTTCCACCAGTTTCCACAAATTTAATTAATTCGGTTGCGTACATGGCTTTTGATTGACAGGGTATACAGCTAATCACAGAGAAGTAGAGGAGTTGTCTCTTCCCTGGCTGTATTTCATGAATTAATGCCGGTCCCGTGCGGTTGATGATGAATTCTGAGTGTCGTATTTGGCCGGTGGTCCTGGCAGTGGCCTAGATCCGGGCCCGAGGTTGACATGCATTTCATATGCAGACGGTGTGAGTGTGAAGGTCGAGGGGTGGCGGGAGTGACATCCTGTTTCACTTAATTCAGTTTCACTATGTACCGCCCCTCTCAGATGCTCTTTATTTAACAATTCCATCCACTTACTAGGAGAAATGTGTGTGTGTAGCAGGAGGGAATGAGAAGACGGTGGGCCGTCTGTCAGGTCTGTAGCCTCCTTTAACCCAGAAGTGTTTGCTGGTCCACCCACCCACGCATGCACACAGACATGGGCTAATGTAATATTAACGGCTACTCTCTCTGCCTGATCCAGAAAGGTCATTTTCTCAGTTCAGTCTTTTCTTCCGCTTAATCCTCGTATTTTATTTATTTCCAGTGAACCCATATTAAAAATAAATTTTAATGATTTAGAATCAACGATGCAAAGTGAAAAAAAAGAAAAAAGAAAAATGAAGATTTTAATTGAAATCATTCAAATTTGATACAAGATTTTCAACATAATTATTAATATTATTATTTATAACAATTATTTTTAATATTTACAATAATTCCTGCATTTCAAATTAATATATTTTGTCACAATATTTCCACATTTTCTAATATATTCATATAATTTTTTTTTTTTTTTAATCTAGCTCACCATTAACTCTTTCAATTGCTTCTCCAGATCAAACTACACATCCCATAATCCCACTTTTTCATTCAGGTCACATGATTATAAGCAAGGAGCAGATGGTACAGAGTCATGTGATGTTGTGAGCCGGGGTTGAATCTGAGAGGTACTCCTGCGTCTGATGTGAGTGCTAAGTGCTCTCTCAAGAAAAAGGGTAATGTATGAAAATTAGCTTTGTTCATTTGTGACTCTGGTTAAATGGATTGTTCTTTTCAGATGAGAATATGTCAGGTGGAGATCAGTGTTTAAGGACAGAGAGGAGGTGAGGGGAAGCGGGAGGGTAGGCCTGAGAGGATGTTCCCTTGTTACCGTGGCATTCAGAAAGGGCACTGTACGTTGGGATAATTGCATGTGATGTAATACATACAAACATAATGTCCCATCTGTTATGTGGACCGAAGACTGTGTTTATGATTTTCTGTGTTAATCCTGAGCTGTGTTATTTGGTTTATCATGGCTGCGTGAGGGGCCTGGATTTTTTGGACCGCTTTTGTTTGTGTCTTGTCTTCTTCTGCTGCCCAATCAAATTGGGTTCAATCGTTTACTGTTTACTGTTCTGCTGACCACTTGTTTAATTAAACTGGCCATAATAAGCCTTTTGTTTTGCATTGTTGGTCAAGTGAACCGAGCCTCGTGTTTTCACAATGTCTGTTGTGAATATGTACATGATGCTAAACTATGGCAACTCAGAAATAAATTATTTTGAGTGGAATTTGAAATGAAGTAGCAAACTTGCCATTTAAATCTGAATGTAAGTTCAGAATTTTGAAATTCAAAGTTCAAAGAATTTAATGTAACCTCATGTAATTCACAATCTTTAACCAGAAAATCCATGTTGAATGCTGGCTTGACAAAGCTTTACAATCCCTGATGTTTAAAGGTTTATAGGCTATGTGTGTTTTGAATTTAACATCGTCTTTTCTTGTCCACTTTTTTATTGCTAATTATATGATGTTCTCTCTGCTGAGGGCAAATGGGAAACTCATGTTTTCAGATGCGTAAGAAGAAAGCCGTAATTATTGTAATATGTGTTCTGCCACTTTACCACAACAGGTTTTATTTATATAATTCCATAATACTTTGTAATACAATTAAATCACAGCCCTTGATTATATCACGTTTATTTATTGCACATTGAAATGGCAGTTTTCCAGCAGTTTCCCTCATTTTGTGAGGTTAATTTTGCTTGCTCACATTGCTACTGTTCATCTGCCGAAATCAGCCTTTCACCAAATTATTTAGGCTAAATATCACACAGTTTAATTGCTACTGACTGAAAGTAAAATTCCCAAGGAGAGACAATATAAACAACATAATTTATATGCTTTTTCTTTTCTAATGGATGAACAATTTTGTATCTAATTTATTGTCAAACAAAGTCCAATGGTATTGGTATTTCTTTTGCATGGGCTAGTGTTGAAAAGCTAAATAGTTTACCACAGCGCTAGTATTTCTACAACTGTATTACAGATAAATTAAATAGTATTTAAATAGGCTAAAGATCAGAAACATCCCAAGCTGACTTTAATATAGTGGTCAGAAATGTATTTCAATTCAATTCATACTAAACTCTTCACACATATGATGCTTATAAATAATTTTATTTCAATTTGGTAGGGAATTTAAGTGGCTGTACACTCTTAAAAATAAAGGTGCTTAAAAGGTTCTTCACAGCGATCATCGTCAGAATAGTCCATCTGCCATCAGTGGTTCAACCGTAACGTTATGAAGTGACAAGAATACTTTTTGTACGCGAAGAAAACAAAAATAACGTAGCATAAATCTACGTAAATTAAAAAAGCGTAAATATACGTAGAAAACATATACTTGTGTCGCGGCTGACACAGAATTGCATACGCTGCTTGCGTTCTTGGAGCTACAGTGATGCGGAGAGACACAGAGGAGACAAATTGTTGAATAAAGTCGTTATTTTTGTTTTCTTCGCATACAAAAATTTTTCTCGTCGCTTCATAATGTTACGGTTGAACCACTGATGGCAGATGGACTATTCTGACGATGTCTTTCATACTTTTCTGGACCTTGACAGTGTAATTTACTTGGCAGTCAATTGGGCAGTCACAAGCCTCCCAGTTTTCACCCAAAATATCTTAAATTGTGTTCCGAAGACGAACGAAGCGTTTATGGGTTTGGAATGACATGGGGGTAAGCGATTAATGACAACATTTTAATTTTGGGGTGGAGTATCCCTTTTAAAGGTTCTTTATGGAGCCATTTAGATAAAAAGGTTCTTCAATGGCATCGTGAAACACCTTTATGTTTAGCAAGTAGCTGTACAGGTTTCAAAACAAGTTTGCAGTGTATATTGCTCTGTTGATTCATGACAATCAGTCAATAAATCTCTTGTTTTCTGTTGCTGTATATGTTTGTTTACAATTACACTAAATGAGAAATGAATCACGATCCAAATGGAACCAATCCAGGATCAGGTCTATGTTTCCCAAAAGCATCGTAAGCCAAGTAGATTGGAGATCCATTGCCACCAATGGTCTCTACGATCAACTTATCTCACAAAGCTTTTGAGAAACGCAGCCCTGGACTGTGGTCTGCTAATTGTTACCTCTATGCTAGAGTGACTGCATTTTTAGTACAGTTTAGTCTTTAATATTTCAAATGTATCTCATATGTGTGTATCTATTGCAGCTAGACATTAAAAACCATTTCATGAGAGGCTTGATGAGATTTCTAAAGTGTCCCCCCACTTTTCAGATCGTTCCTATGCCCCTGCTGATAAGACTAATTGCAAAATAAGTCAGTTTACCTCGGCATGGATCACATTTGTTCAAGTACGATGGATTACATCATACAATCTCATTAATTAAAGCAAGTCTTTTGGTTCAAAAGAAAGATAGAAGACTATTGAAGTGCAGTGCATTCTGGTAACTAATTCTTATTCCCGTCACATTGCTCTCTTTTTCCACTTCACCTTATCAAACAAAACTGCTCTGGCCTTGCTGTCAGGGCAAGACAGTTCACATAGTCCTACTTGGGTTTTAAAGCAAACCTTGAGGCCCTTTTTAGTTCCTGAAGCTGCCAGACATCTCTCTCTGACTTCAATTTGAAGAAACTGGTGAGATAGCAAGAACCCATGTTCCCTACACCAGTGTGATTAAAATGCAATTACAACATCGCGGTCCACATCTCAGGACCACTTTCATGATTACACTCGCTTTTGATTAGGTTGAGAAAGCAAGTTGACACAATGGCATCATAATTAAGAAGGCAATTGTCACATCTCGAAAAATGGTGCATCGTTGGACATAATTTATCTGCCAATCTAAAGATTATGTTGTGCTTGTGACTGGGGTGAGATTGGGTTGTAATTACTTGATTGCATAAGTAAGTAACTCAAAATCTGCGTAATTGGACTGCATTATGCAGCCAGTTGGGAAAGAGCCAGGCTGAGATTTAATATGTGTACCCCTGCAGACAAGAGGCTTCACCCAACAAGATAACAAGCCACGTGCTTTGGAGATGTGTGAGTGATGAGTGGACAACTGTTAGGTATAATTAAACTAATAATTGTTGTAATAAAAACTGCTCAAAGATAAGGTATTAGACACACAAGCTATTCAGGGTCATTTTAGTTTTTAAAATGTTTCACTTGTGTAGCCAGACATTTAAATAAACTACAATCCCATAAAGCATTGTGAATGACTTAACTGAATAAATACAAATATAAAAATTTTTAAGAAGCCATTTATGTTTATGAAAGATTAATTTATATGATTAAAATACAGTAAAAAAAGTAATATTCTGAAATATTATTACATTTTAAAATACATGTTGTCTATTTTTATTAGAATTTAAAATGTTATTTGTTCCTGTGATGGCAAATCTGAGTTTTCAGTTTGCATTACTCCAGTCTTTAGTGTCACATGATCCTTCAGAAATCATTCTAATTTGCTGATTTGCTGCTCAAGAAAGTTGAAATGAGTTTTTCTGATTGGTGGATGTTTTTTCTTTAGGATTCATGGGTAGCATATTTCTTACCTGGAATTTGTCTGTTAAATATAGTTTTTGCTTTTTTTTAATGAAGATGAAATTACTTTGGCAAATGGCAACAGAAACATATAATTAGTTACTAACCATATAGCTCATGGTAGGTTTGTCTTTTAAAGGTTTGTACAGGGTCATGCGAAAGGAATTTTAATTTTAATTAATTAACCAATTGAAATGTTGCATATACCTGTAGCTTATTGGATATGTTTATTGTAAAACTACACCATATGGTTTGTGACTCCTCACAAACCATATGGTGTAGTTTTACAATAAACATATCCAATAAGCTACAGGTATATGCAACATTTCAATTGGTTAATTAATTAAAATTAAAATTCCTTTCGCATGACCCTGTACAAACCTTTAAAAGACAAACCTACCATGAGCTATATGGTTAGTAATTATGATGTCAATCCATAGAATGAGGTTAAAAAGGTCAGATCTTGTTATTCCATCAGTTTTATGTTTGCACAAACTCTTTAAAATATTCTAGCTGCACTCACCTTGGCCTGTAACATGCCTCAGATATCTGAAAGATTTGATTGTCGTCGGCTTCATTTTTGTCACCTCATATGAATAGAGGAACCCATTGATTGTATCATATTAGCTGAGTAATTGATTGTAACTGGTTATTAACCTCTAAGAACTTTATGTCCAGTGTGCCATTGCATGAGGACAGGCCTTAATCACTCACAAATGGCAGCCATTAATGAGATTAGTTCCTGGTTCTGCTCCGTAACTTTATTTGTTCCAGGAGGCATTGACAAGGGCATCCAGATGCTGAAGTTTACTTTTCTGTGAATTGATTTATTTCCTGTTTAACCGCATTCTTTGTCACCTTGATAAATGTGGGCTTACTGAATGTAAACTAACTTTACAATGGTAAGTTCAAAGGAAGAGATATTTATTCAGTATGAATTTATTCCATTCACTTTTATCAACCTTTTTTTTTTTCACTATGATGACATATTGCTGGACCCTGCCAAGGAGACGTCCTGTGTGTCCTTCCTTATCTCATTTGGGCCAGCTATGCCATGATTATGTTGGATTGTGGGAAACCCATCACCAGGATGTACTGTAGCTGTAGGGGGAAACATATGTGGTGTGAGGAGAGAACCAGAAGGCTAGAACTTG